TGATAAAACTTTTTAACAACTTAACCAATTATTATCAAAATCTCATTAACAAAGTTCTCAATTCTGATTGGTTGAAGTATATAATATATAATTACAAGACAATTCATATTATGAATTGGCATTTAATTATTAGTAAAATAGTAAGTTTACTTTTTTACACACCCTAAAGTTTCTAATTTTTACTATAATAACATACAACCTATTGTTTCTCTATTGGTTAGAATACGTTAGATGTATCAAAAAATAGAAGCAGGTGTATCAAAAACGAAGTTTGCTCAAGTTCATCCTATTCTTTAGAGACAATAAAATTAAAAATACCATTTCTAATTCTTTCAATATCTAGAATATTTTTCTTGTGGATAGCTCTGTTACTAGATGAGATCACGGTACTATTTTCAAGCGAGGATGGAGAAACCTTTGTCATATCTTCAGACTTATTTTTTAGGCCTAATGCAGGGACAACCAGGAATATGCGCGGGGTGGAGGAACGGCCAAATTAATTTTTTGATGATGTTTGAAATCTTCAGCAACCGTATCTCATGAATGTGATCTAGCATCGTAATATTGAACACGGATTTGAACCCTCTATTTTTTTATAGAAAATTTTAATTGTAAATAAACTAATGAATTTATAAAAATAAATAAATAATGAATTATAAATATAACTAAATGAACGAATTATAAATATATGAGGATGAGGACAATAGAAAATGAAAATTGTTTCTAAGTAACTTTTTTTTTAATTCGACACAGTTATAGAATTAAAATAAAAAAAAGTTATTTAGAAACAATTCAGTTGTTTTTTATTGATTTTTCATTTATAAATACTGAATTATAAATGATAGGATTATAAATGATAGGATTAAAATAATTGAATAAATCACCAAATATAAGATATCTCAATAATTATACTGTTTATTGATTCTTTGGCAGCTCGAGCAGCACGAGTATCATAATATTCGATTAAAAGGACCAGAGTTTGTCCAACTGAAGAGATCTAGCAAATCTAATCGTATCCACTTCGTCAAAATGATTCTAATAATAAATGAAATTAATAATCAGCAACAAATTGCCTAAAATGAACATAAATATATAGGCTTTTTTTACCAAGATTGTAGATTGAATTGATTGTGCACTTATCCAAGAAACTATGATAACACCTTTGTTCGCTCTATCACACTTATTAGAGGTATTTTTACAATTCCTATATATATATTTTTAAATATGAAATAATTTTATAAAAATTTTAATATTCATAAAATTAATAAGTTTAATGATAATATATAATAATTTTAATATAATAATTTTAATCAGAATTATGTAATTATCATTATTATTAAATTGATATTACCACTTTTAAAGATATTAATATTATTATTAATGCAACATTATTAATAGAGACATATCTGTAAAGTGTATGGTTTAGAAGAAACCTGGATTTTCAATCTATGCTGATTATGAGGTATGCCTTGATGACAGAGAAACTGATATGTATTAAAGCATCACAAAGATCATAGTATATCATATAAGCATAACGGATCTAGTAAGAATTTCTTAGATATCACCATAAATCTGTTATAAAAAATACGTAAACTAAAATTGGAGGTGGTGCAGCAACACATTTTACACATTAATGCCCAGGAGCGTTATTTAGATACATGCAATTTAAAAAGAGCTGATAATTAATGTAGTTGAATACTTTTAATAACAAAAATTATGATTAACATTCAGATAAATTAATTATTATTTAAAGTGTATGCTTCATAATCACATAAATACAAATTAAAAGATTACTTCGAAAATTGATCTTATGTAGCACGAAAGGTTAACATCTGTAAGAAAATTTAAGACAAACAACCACCTAGAAGGGAAAGCACCCCAAGTACAACCAAATATCTTTGAATTATTGAAAGTTAATTTATGGTTAGCAAAAGACAATCTCATGTTAGGGTTTGACACAACTGGTGGGAAACAAAATAGACCTTGACCATAATTAGTGATAAATTCTTCAACATTAAAAGAGTTATAGTCTTTAGACACATTTCTGGAGTTGATCATGTTAACTTAAAAAAAATATAAATTCATAAATACAATGACTCAAAAAAATATGTAAAACTATTATTTTGTGTCATAATTATTATATAGATCTTACCCTAACCTTACTTTAATTAGAAAATTCCGAATTTACTTAAATTCTGTTTCTACTTACAACATATTTATAGAATTTCTTTTGTACACTTTAAAACACGAGTATATTGAACTCTCAAAATCCTGATTATAAAACCCACTGGGATATGACATGACGAAAATGAATATGCAGACTATTCTTAATAAAATATAATTGAGGTTGATGTACTTTTAAAGTATGCACGTTATATGATTTGCAACATAGATATTCTGTTATTATGTACTGTACTATCATTATTAGTGATAAAAAACTTGTTTTTAACAAGCTTACAATAAAAACAGAAATTTTTCTGAATTAAATATATTACATATTTTAAACTTGCTCTTTTAAACAGTATACTGTATATCGTATAATTAAATATATTGATGATATTAATAGCATAGCATATATATACGGTAAGAATTAAAACAAGTTTTTATTTCCAGTTATCAGTATTTTTCTGTTATAATATTCTATATATATATATGGTTACTGCTTTACTGTATAATAATATATGGTGATTGTACTATATAGACACGTAGATTAAAATTTTTTATTTAATATTTTTAGTAATAAAATTGGATTACAGTACTTAAAAAATATATAAAATCTACAATATACATAAATTTAATTACGTATATATTTAATAAATATATAAGGCTTTTTTCAAAAATTTACTTATAAGAATGAAAAAAAATTAAAAAAAATCCACTTGTACCAAGTCAAGGCTCTAAGCAAGAGGTGCGAACCCATTTATTCAAAGTTTATGTAACTTTCGGAATTCTGCTTTTGGATTTTATACTATTATTAGAGCATTATTTATTTTAAAATTACGTAATATGTGTTGCCATTTCAATTTATAATTATATATAGCTGAATTTGTGTTTTTACATTTTTAGATATTAGCACTTATCCTAGGACTTTCATTTGTTAACTTTGGTTGGTTTTCAATTTTGAATTACATTAGATTAGTAATATTATTAGGTATTTATATTCCTATTTATCATGGTATTTAAATTTTTTGATATGACTACTTAATGATTATTTTCCATTTTGGTAGTCTTATTTAGTATTGAATTTAATATTCATTATTTTGCACAGTCGTGAATTATAGGACAGCAATTTATATGTTCATTTATTTTGTCTTTTGTAATGCATTTTTAGTATTAATTTTTTTTTGATATAAGTGCTAGTATATGACAATTAAATTTTAACCAAATTTCTTTGCTGATTGATTTCGCATATCTGAATTTTGATATTTATTTCTAAATAAATCAATGCTATACATTTGTTACAAAATTAGTTTCATCTTATTTTTCATTATCACGCAGAACTTGTGCTTACCATTATCGAGCAGAATTTATGCTTACAAAATCACGTAAAATTTCTTTATATGACTTACAGATTTATCAAGCTGTTAATCGCTTTATTCTACAATATTGTTAATCGCTTTTATTTCTACAATATTTTTCATGCAAATTACTGTTTAAATTAGTGCCGAATTTATTAGAAAAGAACCAATCTATTAATGACAATGCGTGGTAACATGATCTTAAAATAAAATAAAAATACGGAGATTGCTACCGGCACAATATTTTACGTGCTTATATGCTTATGGACACAACAATGACTAGCATTACAAAAATATACTTACCTTAATGTTAACTATAATCTAACTCAGGCTAATGTTGTGTCTATAAGTCATGTAAAATGTTGTGCTTGACAAAAGCAAGGCTTTCAAAAGGTATGTGATTTTGAATGTTGGTGTTGCGCATCTTATTTAGAAACTTATTTTATAAGTTAAAAACTTAAAGTTAAAATTTTAGAAATAAAGTAGTAAAAATACAAGCTGCTCTGATAGGATTTATGTATTATATATTAATATATTAATAGCATATATACTCATTTTACTATTGAGAAAAGTACATAATAAAACAAGTTTTTATGTTCAGTTATCTATAAGATCTTATATATTTTTTAAACCTGTTTTTTAAAGATTTAATATTAGGGTACTAAATAGATGCATAGACTAGAATTTTTATTACCTTTTTTATATTATCTTTTATTCATATTAATTTATTTTAAACCTTCAATATATAATGATAGTTCTATACATAGCTATCTTGTTTGCACGGAATTCATGAACAGAAATCTGATAAATTGACACCATTCAATAATCTCCCTTATCTTGAAGCAACCTTCTCTAAATATTTAGGTAATAATTTTTTTCAAAAAAAAATATCGTGCACAGGATTTAATTAGCATAGCTTGCATATTGGCTTGATAAGAACGAAATGTGTAGCAGAATATATTCACTTATTATAGTTTAGTAGAGGTTTTCATACCATCATATTAACACGGTAAATATTTTTACAATTTCAAAAAAAGACGGATTATAATATATTTAGAGCAAGAAGATTTCATTTAAAACAAAGTAAGAATATGAATAACATATTTAATCAATTCTGTATATTTATAGCTTTACGTAAATTCTTATAGTAAAGATTCTAACACAATTTTTTCTGTATTTTATTGATGTATTTAGAGTATAAAGTTACTGATATGAATATTCCTGATGCTCATTCGCTTAATGATATGAGAAGGTATGAATTCTCATAATGTATTGAATAATTATTTGAAAGGAATAAATAGAAATCTTAAAAATGGTTTAATTTTATTTCATTTTTTTCTAAGTAGCAGCAATGAATTGGCTGGCAATAATGATCAAAATAGGTTTGATAACACTTTATTAAATGGATAATTTCTAAATATAGTTTAACTTTAATTATTGTCAATATACAAAATACAGACGTCAAAAACATGTTCAAAATGAGAAAAATTGTCGTAAAAAAATCACTGATGGTTTTAATATGCTTCGAGAACTGATTCCCTTTGGGTTTATTATGACCAAGAAGAACTTGCTGCAGAATGGTGAACTCGTATTTACATTTCTATTATTTTAGTTATCTTGTGACAATGATGCAATTTATTGAATACTAATAAAGCTATTGTTTCTTTTAAAAAGCTACCTTTCTTTTATCTTGCTATTATAAAGAAAATAAATGACTAATTGCAGAATTGAATTATAGAAATGCATTAATCAAAGAATATATGATTTTACAGTATAATAATTATTATTTGGTTTCTTGAAAAATGTTAGAATTGCTAATAAAATTATTAGATTGTTAGATGCTTTGCAAATGAAAAAACAGCATGATGAAATCAATCGCCTTGGGCAGATCTGTAAATATCAGAATGAAGAGTTGAAAATGAATAATTTAGATAATGATATGGATTTGCAGTTACCCAAAAGTTTAGAAAAATTTGCACTACGAAAAGTGTATGATTTAGGGTTATAAGAAATAAGGTTTTCAGATATTTTTTTCATTTACTAAATGCATCGAATTGAATATAGCACATTCTTTTGAAATGTAAATGATTAAAAGCTCAAAGAATAAATAAAAATTTAAAGATTACAAAATTTTAAAATTTGAAATTAAGAATTATCGTTATTAATTTCGCTACCAGAACCAAGTATAAGAAATAATAATAAATCAAATAATTTAATAAAGGATATTACACTTAA